AACGGCGCCGCCGGTGTGCCTACACTCATAGAAAATAATGTATTTGAACTTTAAAGACGTGACGCGGCGTGACACGACGCTGCGCTTCTCGTCCACCATGTGACATCGGGGGTTCAACCGTAATTTTACGAAGCTACGAGAATACTTTTTGTGTGCAAAAGAAAAAAAAACTTTATTCAACAATTCGGCGTGACGCAGCTGACACAGAACAGCATACGCTGTTTACATCCAGCTGATACTCTCCAAAATGGCGCTACAGGGTGATGCAGAGGAGACAAATTGTTGAATAAAGTTGTTTTTTTTTCTTTTGCGCACAAAAAGTATTCTCGTAGCTTCGTAAAATTACAGTTGAACCCCTGATGTCACATGGATTATTTTACAGATCTCCTTGCTATGTCTCTGGACTTGGGAACATTTCAGTTGTATTGCTGTCTATGCAGGGTCAGACAGCTCTCAGATTTCATCAAAAATATCTTAATTTGTGTTCCAAAGATGAACGAAGGTCTTACGGGTTTGAAACGACATGAGGGTGAGTAATTAATGACAGAATTTTCATTTTTGGGTGAACTATCCCTTTAAATGATAATTGCACACTAATAATAAAAAAAAGCTTTTTTTCTAATAAAAAGCTCAATGTTTTTAAGTGAAGACACCAACAATTAAATTTGCTGAGGTGAACCAAATGTGGAGCCCATTCTCAATGCTCTTACACACATTGCTAGCTTTAAATCACTTCAAAGTGTTTGTATGACAGCGAGAAGAGAATTACACCGAAACCACATGAGATCACAGAGAGAACTTGATAGTACCTGAAAAGCCTGCAGAGCCAGAGAGTGGTATCCGACAGGATGCGGGTGGTCAGCTTTCTCAATCTTTCCCGTTCCAGGACAGAAATATATGCGGCCAGACTATGTCCCAGTAGAGCCATGTGTCCCTGCTCTGCGACGTACTGCATCCTGCTAAACAGACGTTCATAGTTTTATGACACACGTAGAGGGGTTTATGACACATGCTCTCGGTGCAATATAATGGAGCTGGTCTGTCTTGACGTCAATTTGTAGACCAACCCCAAAGACTACTTCACCATAGGTTTGGTTTATCAGTAAAATAAGGCCTACAACTAACATTACTGAAAAAGACTTTTCTTGAGGACACTTTTCTGTGTTGTTCTATATATAACAGACCTTATTTTACTGATGTATTTTACTTGCACCACCATTCAAAAGTTTGGGGTCTGTGAGAATTTTTTGTAAGATGTTCTTAAAAGAAGTCTCTTCTGCTCTCCAAGCCTGCATTTATTTGATCAAAAATACAGTAAAACCAGTAATATTGTGAAATATTACTACAATTCAAAAACTGTTCCCTATTGTAATATATTTTAAAATGTAGTTTATTCTCATGATATCAAAGCTGAATTTTCAGCATCATTACTTCAGCCTTCAGTGTCACATGATCCTTCAGAAAACATTCTAATAAGCTGACTTGCTGCTCAATAAATATTTCTTATTATTATCAGTGTTGAAAACAGTTGTGCTGCTTAATATTTTTCTGGAAACATGATACTTATTTACAGGATTCTTGTTTTAATTAATAGAAAATAAAAAAAAACAGCATTTACTTGACATAGAAATGTTTTGTAACATTATTTAATGCATCCTTGACCTTGCTGAATACAAGTATTATTATCGTTTATTATAATAAACCTGTTCAAAATTCTCAAGGGATTCATTTCTTGGCTTTAGGACGACAAACTGAGCAGCTCTATAATGCTGTGACCTACCGTTGACCCTGCTTGTCATCATCTCCATGCATCAGGTTCTGGACAAGCTGGAGTATGCTGACAACATCCTGTCCACTGTCAGAAAAAAAATGGAAAAGGCTCTAAAGTGTTTTATAGCTAATATGCACTGACTTTAAACCCCATAAAATGCCTTAGAAATAAGCAGGGTAGAATTACAGAGCAAGACAAGAAACAGTGTAAATGTAAACTGTGATTTACAGTATTAGAGTCTCACTCACTCTCCTTGCAAGGGTCCTGGAATTTCTTTCCAACTCAACTTTCTTCTTTCTTTGCCTTGTTCAGATTCCCTGAATACATCCACACAATGTTATATTAGTTATATGTGAAACTAAACTTTGGACATACTGTCAACCTAACATAAAGATGGCTTAGTATTGGTATTTTAAATGAAATTACTGAAAATATTTTAATATGAAAGGTGAAATCTCACAATTTTCCACTTTCCAAAATCTTCATGGCATCAGAGAGATGGTTTCCCATCTCAGCAAGTGTAGGGTCCATCATCTACACAGTAAAATGTATATGGTTATCCTTAAAGGGTATTGCAGTGAAACATGGAGAACTCGCAAACTTGATGACAATGGCTGTATATCACATTTCTTGTCACATCAAATAAAATGACTCCTCAGGCTTTAACAAAACTCATATTTCACCTGTAGGGCACTTTCGCTGACTATGAGAGAGGAGGAAACATTTAGGCCTCTGTCCTTTTGAGATAATAGTGCGTTCATAACATTATAATATATTTAAGCACAAAATAAATACCACAAATACTATTGGCAGACTTGACAAAAGCTGTTCTACTTGTAAACTGTGCCAGCTTGTGTAAAATAAGCCTGTAGCGCTGTCTTCCTTTATCTGTTCTACACTTATAATTCCTGATATTCAGGATGTGGGGTGTGTTAACGACGAAAACCTGTCGGATGACAAGGCTCGTTTCAACACACTAGCACTCATCTGGTACGTCCACCTTGTCCAGACGATAAAAGATTTAATGTCATGTCCTCATGTGCATCCTGCTATAACACAACACTTCATTTTGCAACACAATTGATTTTTAGATCAAACTTGATCAAGCCTTACGCACTGTGGCTTCTATTGAATCCGGTATAGCTCCGCATCATCCTCCCTATGGCAATGACAGTGAATAAGCTTCCTGTACTTCACTCAAATGAGCGAGTCCTTCAGGGAACGAACGATGTTCTACATTACCTTCACGGGCGGCTTATCCATGCAATGTTGAAAACCTAGTCGCAGGGACTCTCCGTGCCCCCGTGCGTGTGTTGTGTAATTTTAGGGAAGCAAATCCAAAAAGCACAAAAATCCACCTCAGGTACCCTTTCTCTTCGTTATTTGTATAGTCAATTTAATAGTGTTACTTCCTGGTGTCATGCCGCTCCACGCTGGCAGCGCTGACGTAGCCTAAACATACGCCCCCTCTACAGTCTTCGTGAGCTCCTCGGTTTACCACATAGACTGTGGTTTACCCCATGCAAAGACATGTAATGATGCAGTGTAGTGTGATGTGGAGTCCGACCCGAATCGGTTCTTTCGAACAGTTCGTTGCAAAAACTAATTGGTTCGAAAAATCTTTTACATCATCACGTGGTCTCTGACGTCACATGCTTTTATGATTAAATAAAAGTAACGTGTCCATGTTCAGTTTGTTGTTGTCATAACTGAGCTCATAAAAACATAGTAATTGAGAACCAAAATAGGATTTGGATTAAAAATAATCAACATCACTTGACTCGGTTGAAAAGTTTTTGCAATTTTTTAATTAAAATTCTATTCACCAAAACTAATCAGATTCGTGTGATACAACTGTCGTACAAGTAAGTCGTAAACCTGTTTAATTAAACATTTTTATTTGTAAAATTGCTGTTATTCAAATATTTTATACTTTACTTTTCATTACGAATCGGAAATGTTCGGAACAGACTTCTCCGATTCGTTTAGCTGATTTTTCGTTCAGAGGTTTTTTTGAGGTTTGAGGGATTTTTCAACTGCTGTATATTTGATTTAGACATCACTGAATTATTCTCTGTAAAGGAGGTTGTTCATGGGCTAACTGGTAAAGTGGCTTCTTTTGGGTGGGTCATCAATGGTGGGTCATCAATACCTTGTATATTAAAGGCACATTATGTAAGATTTTTTTTATTAAAATATCCAAAAAATACTAGAACAGTTTTATATATTTTACTGACTTGTGTACTTACATTATACCAAATGTTTTGAAGAATGTTTAAACCCAGAGAAATAAGCAATTTTAACTAGTGACACGGACCGTGTCTATAGTGTCATTGTGTCGCCTGCCAATTACGTCATACACCCTCGATTTCCGGTTTAGAAAACATGGAAACACCAAAGATGCTTTAATATGCTATGCATTTTATTAGACAGGTGACGACTGCACAGAGTAGCATTATAACAGAACGTTCCAATGTATCTAGTATGATAAAACAGCGCTGCTTTCCGGAAGGAGCGGAAGCGGTCGACTGTGGAATAATAAAAGCTCCGCTGATTTCGAGCCATGTGTCGCGCTCGATCAGCGGCCTCATTTCGCTTCGACGGCTTTCCGCCTCACTCTGCTTCATACTACAAAGTTAATAAATCTTTAATACATTAGCTCATCCATGAACATGATTTCTGCCGGAGTCCCGTCGGATTGCATCGGCTGTGGGGATGAAGACCACAACTCCCATGATTCCACACCCAGTCACCTAACTACGCCTTTGTTTCTTTGTTTGTTTTGAATACGCGCCCTCTAGTGGCAAAAAAATTACATATTGTGCCTTTAAAAAACTTTTCTCGCCAGTCTGCAAATATGTCCTCTTTGCCCTCCAAGAAACTCACACCTGTGAATGTGATTCATTGAAACGATCCGACTTAAATAAACATTCGTTCAAACAGTGGCACATAACATTAGCTTAAGATTTATATGAGGCATATATAAGGATGAAATATGTTAACATTGTGTAAGCACAAAAGTCTCAGTAAATGTTGATCGCACGAACATAAAATCTAGCAACTGGTTTTACTGAGTATGTGGTGGATCTTTATTATATACAGATCAGATTTAAACGCGCCACACTTGAACGCGCGGGCAGATTAATGTGGGATTTGAGCACCTGACTAAGTAACGGGAAACTGCTGATCACTGGATCAACGCCCGCTGTAACCTTTTCATTTAACTGCTAAATGGATTAATGAATGTAATTCTTATTTTTGCCTTGCTGTGTCTTTTAAAGTCAAAGAAGATGGACTGAACCGAAGCACTCGATTGATCTGTGTTTTATTTGGCAGTGCTTTGCCTTTGTAATGTTTCTGAAGGATGTTCACCAAGAGTCACAATGAGCTGTCAAACCATTAATCTGTAATTTATTGTGCATTTTAAATATATTGAACAAGACTGACTAGAAATAATAGAGTTTAATAGAATATTGAACTTGTAGAGCAACATATTTTATGAGTTTAGCTACGGCCGTTTGTCAATGTCAGGTCACCGCTTTGTTTCGTGTCCATCGACGTCATTTACAAAGGTTAGGAAGTAGGCCTACAAGTTTCCGTTTTGTTGAACATGAGAAAAAAAAATTTCAGACGAGCAAAGGTATTGCCTTGGATAAGCAATGTGACTCTGTACGGATGCTTGTTCGCCGGTGGGGATTTCGTGCATCAGTGCATGATCGCACAGAGAGAGGAAATGGACTGGAGGCACACGAGAAACGTGGCGATTGTGGCGCTGAGCTTTCAAGGTAACTTCAATTACTTCTGGTTGCGAGCCTTAGAACATCGTTTCCCGGGAAGATCGGCCAGTATGATTTTACGCAAACTGCTTTTGGACCAAACTTTTGCTTCACCTTTGGCGACCAGTGTCTTCTACACAGGTAATGTACTGTATTAATGTCAATCACAGTCACATATATCACACTTATTTGTTTAATCACTCAATTCATTGTCTTCACAGGTGTGAGTTTCTTGGAGGGCAAAGAGGACATATTTGCAGACTGGCGAGAAAAGTTTTTTAATACATACAAGGTAGGCCCATTGATGACCGACCAAAAAGAAGACATCTTTTACCAGTTAGCCCATGAACAACCTCCTTTACAGAAAATAATCCAGCGATGTCTAAATCAAATATGGACACTAGTTGAAAAATCCTTCTGAACCTGAAAAGTTCTGAACCTTTTGTGTCTTTCTAGAGCCTTCTGTGTCTTTCTAGAGTCTATATTTTGTACTGACGTCAAGATGTCTCTCTCTCTCCTCTCCTCTATCTCTATATGTATACATAATATAAATGTAATACATTAATTTACAAGATGACATACAAAAGTAATTTTAGTTTGTCATTTATTAGGTTTGTATTCGAAAGGGTTATACATTTACAAATGTTATAAATTATTATAAAATGATATTGAGAACATCTAGCTTTTTATGGCTGATAGTGTAAATATATTTTTACATTTCAGACTGGACTAATGTACTGGCCATTCATGCAGGTAAGAACCACATTCTGTCACCATATTATATATATATATATATATATATATATACACAACCAGATAAATGTGCCATAAGCACTTCTTGATCCTTTGCTTTGTCAGTATTCTTAAACTGCATTCTGTTCATTTTTCTCATCTAATCACGATTTATGTTGATTAGTCTGTATTTTCTTTCAGTTTCTGAATTTTGTTCTGTTGCCTCTCTACCTGAGGACGGCATTCATGGGCTGTTCAGCATTCTTGTGGGCCACGTTCTTATGTTTCTCGCGACAGAGTGGGGATGGCACAGTAGCAGTGGCCTTAGCTTGGATCATGGCCCCCAAAAAACGGTTTCAACCTCGCAGTACCGACGAGGAGAAATAGAGACACAGTGGCGCATATGAATAACATTGTGCCTTTGCGGATGGACAGTTGAGTCCCACAATGGTACTGTATCGAGGCTGTGTTGTGTTTATAACTCTTGTTGCTTTTGATCTTAATAAGAGTGGTATAAAATTAACTTATACGTGTACACCTTTCATTTCTTTTTATGTTGAACAACCCAATTTTACTTTATATAGTTTTTTGTTTTATGTGATTCAATTTATTTATTTATTACTGAGGGGAAATGCATTGTGTCTTTAAGAATTTCACTGGGTGGTTTGGACGGGCCTTTTGTGCCCCAGGTTAGGTTGCTATTCAACCCAAATACCTTATTAATTTATTGAAATATTTTTAAAAAAATGGACATACTGTGTGTGCAGTGTTTTATCCAAACGTAACTGTCTTTCTAAAGAGAAATGAAGACGCATTCACTCATAAGGTTTACATGCACATGTACTCATAAGGGATGCAGTATTAAAAAGATTTGTATCTTATTAAACTTGTAAAAAATATATTTATTGTGATTACATATTGCTTTCCACAGTTTACACAATGCATTTTAGATAAACCAGTGTTTGCTTTGTTTGTAGGTGAGTTGTACAGTTTCTTGTGATGCTGTTTTTATGGAAGTGTATGTGAGAGGTGATGTGTTTAACCATGCAGAATTGAGAAACGCGACAGCTTAATGTAGATTTTATGAGATATTGAGGGTGATGCTGGGTAACAGATAAACAGCTTTTCCGGTACTGATTGTCTGTGTTGGATTAGGCAGGATCACACACTTGCTAATCTTAGAAGGGCAAAAATGTCTGGTGTGCGCGCCGCTCACTGCATGCAGTGACCTCTGACAACAGGACAGAAAAAAAACTCTGTTAGGTACTGTGTACATTCATGTCATGACTTTAGCATATTAGTTTCAAAAATGCCTTTTCATTTTGGTTTTTAAATGTATGTTGTTTTTAGACAAATTAAGAATGATGAGAATAAACATCAGAAAGTCATAGATTAAATACTTGCCATTTCTTACATGAAGTTTGCATGACACACCATTTGTATCAAGTTACTTTTTATTTAATTAATGAATAATGCATTTATATAGTGCTTTATTGTGTATGCGCTTTACAATCATGTGGGGGGTCTCTCCTCAACCACCACCAGTGTGCAGCATCCACCTGGATGATGTGACAGCAGCCACAGGACAACGGCACCAGTGCGCTCACCACACACCAGCTACAGGTGGAGAGGAGAGAGAGTCATAGAGCCAATCAAGTGGATGGGGATTATTAGGAGGCCATGAGAGACAAGGGCCAGTGGAGGGAATTTGGCCAGGACACCGGGGTTACACCCCCACTCTTTATAAGAAGTGCCATGGGATTTTTTTCTTTTTAATGACCACAGAGAGTCAGGACCTCGGTTTAACGTCTCATCCGATAGACGGTGCTCTTTGACCGTATAGTGTCCCCGTCACTATACTGGGGTGTTAGGACCCACACAGACCACAGGGTGAGCACCCCCTGCTGGCCTCACTAACACCTCTTCCAACAGCAACCTAGTTTTCCCAGGAGGTCTCCCATCCAGGTACTGACCAGGTTGAACCCTGCTTAGCTTCAGTGGGCAACCAGTCTTGGGCTGCAGTGTGATATGGCTGTTACTGCATTTATATATTTAAAAAGCAAACTTGGAACTCAAGGATTTAAGAAAATTATTTTTTCTTATTT